GCTTGAAGATATTGACTTGATATTTGGTGTATTGTTTTATCATGACAAGTTATGGATCAAGTTAGCATTTTGTTCCAGTACAATGAATTTTAAACCAGTAGGGGACTATGTATTTCCATGCAATACTCTCAGAATTCTTGTTGTCTATACTTTATAATTTTGCCTTAACCATTTATTGTAAATGTGTTTGTGCTATTAAATATTGCCTACTGTCTAAAATGTCTCTTCAGCTTAATAAGCAATTCTTGACCTCAGAAGTATACCTACAATTACTTTTGATCTACACTAAATAAAAGTATTCTGTAAATTATGTGTCAAAGATGAATAATTAAGGTGGTATGGGAGTATAATTAAAAAATGATAGAACTTTTTCATACTTTGTCAAAATGTATAATTTATTGTGCTATATGTTCCAAAAAATAATATAAGTGATAGGTAACCAAGCTTGTTTTCAAGCTACAGGTGGTGATCAAATGACACATTTTGTTCGGATTATACAGAGAAAAAACATCATAATGTGAATAGAACGAAAACTAAATGACAGAAGATTGAAATAAAATTTGAGAAGATAGCTCTCAATGAAAATGATTTCAGAATATTGAATGAAAAATGGGCTCACTTTTTGTTTTTTTTTTCCTGCTATAAAATAAAATAGAAAAGTTTCCTGTAAATTCCTTTATAAATTTTACTATTTCTGAGTTACCTCCCATTAATACGCAAGTTAAAAAATCGAAATCAAGCAAAAATTTACTTTTGTAAAATTGTTATAATTATATCTTAAAATTGCATAAATTTGTTCATTTAAATGAAAATTCTTATTATCATATTGCACTCCTGCATTGAAATTTGCTCTCTTAATTAAAAATCAAGACCTATAGTGTTCTGCTATTTTACAATCCAAGAAAGATGGCGGAAGACACCCATACCATCTTAAGGTTGCACTTTGTAAATACTGCTGATTCACAAACAACCCTTCTTTTGGGGAGATATTTAAGTGCAAATCTTTCGTTTCCTTGTCCTGTTCTGGTAATTCAAGATATAATTTGGTTGAAATGCACTAGAAATTAAAAACTAAGGGGAGCTAGCTCCATAATTTGCAATCATTCTAACCAAAATTTATCTAGAGATTTCTCGAATTACTAGACACGCAGAAAAGAAAGACCTACCATTTCTAACTCAGGATGAGGGTACCTTCAAAATAGGATGGTTAAGATGGTGGTTTTTTTTCGGCCATGTTTTCTAAATTGCCTGATTCTTACAAAGACTGGCACTTAATATTCATAGATATTTTGTTTTGTTTACCTACTGGTTCCCATATATGATCTCCATGTTTCATCTCATAGAGACACAACTTGGGAATTTTACCAGTATGAATACTGTTGGATAGCAGACAAATTAAATTTTCAGGATGACATAAAGTAAAGGGAGGGGTAGTACAGAATTTTAGTATTTGTTAAAACTTTTAGTTGTTCAAGGCTTATAAATGTTGAAAATATGCTGCACAAACCCTATGATTTGACCTTTGCATAAACTAGTGCATATGATCTTTCCATTCAAGGATATAATTTTTACGAAACTTCATAGTAAAAGTGGCACACCTTTAGCCGTAAAAGGAGTAACATGGGAAATTGAATTGTATATATTTACAGAAGTGCAACCTATAGGAAAATTAGTTAGTCTTTTTTCAATCTCAATGACAAAAAATAGAATGACAATACAGAAATGCAAGCAGGGTCTGTTTTACTTGTAAATCAGTGTCATAATCATCTGATTTAGTTAAATTTAGTTACAATTATCAGTAACTTGCTTTAAACAATCAACAAAAAGATTAAATTGCAAAACAAGACTGAGCACTTCCTGCAATAAATTTATTTGTTTAAACCCCTTATATTGCTATTTAGCAGTATAAGATATTTGTACAATGTATATATGAAGGTTGTTTTACCAATATGCCTGAGAATATGATTTGAAATTATGCTCACAACTCTTCCAATATTTTCATTAATGATTTCAAACCTGGGTGTCTATTGTCAAGTACCTCAGGAGACGAAACTTTTTCTGAAAATTTCGTGAGCTGGAAGAGGCAATTTTTTAGTGAAATAATAATGAAAACGAGGTTCAACTTTTTGATCCTTGTATAGTATCTTTTTATTATACGACCGCAAAAAAATTTTTGTGGTCGTATATTGGTATGACGTTGGCGTCGTCCGGCGTCGTCCAAAGACACATTGGTTTTCGCACTCTAACTTTAGTTTAAATGAATGTATCTCTATGAAATTTTACCACAAGGTTCAATACCACAAAAGGAAGGTTGGGATTGATTTTGGGGGTTATGGTACCAACAGTAAAGAAATTAGCATTTTTGTAACTTCCAGACATAACTTGTGTGTTAGTGTATGGATCTCTCTGACATTGTACCACAAGGTTCCATATCACAAAAGGAATGCTGGGATTGATTTTGGGGGTAATTGCCTCAAAATATTAGGAATTATGGGCCCAAAAAGGGGCAAAAAAACAAGCATTTTTTCTAGTTTCATGACAATAACTTGTGTGTAAGTGCATGGATCTTTCTGAAATTGTACTACAAGGTTCCATATCACAAAGGAAAAGCTGGAATTGAGTTTGGGGGTAATTGCTGAAACTTTTAGGAATTGGGGGCCAAAAAGGGGCCAAAAATAAGCATTTTTCTAGTTTCCAGACAATAACTTGTGTTCAAGTGTATGGATCTCTCTGAAATTGTACTGCAAGATACCATACCACAAAGGGAAGGCTGGGATTGATGATGGGGGTAATTGCCTCAATATTTTAGGAATTAGGGGCCAAAAAGGGGCAAAAAACAAGCATTTTCTAGTTTCAGGACAATAACTTGTGTGTAAGTGTATGGATCTTTCTGATATTGTACTACAAGGTTCCATATCACAAAGGGAAAGCTGGGTTTGAGTTTGGGGGTAATTGCCCTAATTGTTTAGGAATTTGGGGCCAAAAAGGGGCCAAAAAACACATTTTTCTAGTTTCCAGACAATAACTTGTGTTCAAGTGTATGGATCTCTCTGAAATTGTACTGCAAGGTACCATACCACAAAGGGAAGGCTGGGATTGAGTTTGGGGGTGATGAATCATAAGGGGGTTCAAAAAATTTGGGGGGGGGATTTTTTTTTTTTTTCCTTTTTTTTCTTTTTTTCCTTTTTTTTTCTTTTAAAATTTTCCATTTTAAGTTGGTTATTTCTGATTTATATTTAAAAGCAAATAATAATGATATGGTAGGAGATACACACCAAACAGGATGTGTAAATTATTATATAATAAGTATTGTGCAATAGCAAGAAATTTTCAATTGCACAGTATTGCACAATAGCAAGAAATCTTCAATTGCACAGTATTGCGCAATAGCAAGAAATCTTCAATTGCACAGTATTGCACAATAGCAAGAAATATCCAATAGCACAATATTGCGCAATAGCAAGAAATTGTCAATTGTACAGTATTGCGCAATAGCAAGAAATATTTAATTGCACAGCATTGTGCAAAAGAAGATACTTCGTATAAATTGCTTATTTCTTGACCAATTTCAATGGGGTTTTATTCTTGAATTCTTGGGGTTCTTTAATATGCTGAATCTAACCATGTATTTAGTTTTTAGATTTTGGGCCCCGTTTTTAAATTGGTCCACATTGAGGTCCAAAGGGTCCAAAATTAAACTTTGTTTGATTTCATCAAAAATTGAATTATTGGGGTTCTTTGATATGCCGAATCTAACCGTGTATTTAGATTCTTAATTTTTGGTTCCGTTTTCAAATTGGTCTACATTAAGGTCCAAAGGGTCCAAAATTAAACTTAGTTTGATTTTAACAGAAATTGAATTCTTAGGGTTCTTTGATATGCTGAATCTAAACATGTATTTAGATTTTTGATTATGGGCCCAGTTTTCAAGTTGGTCTAAATCGGGGTCCAAAATTAAACTTTGTTTGATTTCAACAAAAATTGAATATATGGGGTTCTTTGATATGCTGAATCTAACCATGTATTTAGATTTTTGATTTTTGGGCCCCATTATCAACTTTGTCCACATTGAGGTCAAAAGGGTCCAAAATTAAACTTTGTTTGATTTCATCAAATTTGAATTCTTGGGGTTCTTTGATATGCTGAATCTAACCATGTATTTAGATTTTGGATATTGGACCATAATAGGTGAATGTCCAATTTAAAATTTTTAAGTTCTTAGACCACATTCATTCTGTGTCAGAAACCTATGCTGTGTCAAATATTTAATCACAATCCAAATGCAAATCTGTATCAAGCTTGAATGTTGTGTCCATACTTGCCCCAACTGTTCAGGGTTCGACCTCTGCGGTCGTATCAAGCTGCGCCCTGCGGAGCATTTTATTAGACTAATGTTTTAAATTGGTATCTGCTCTCTATATATTGTAGTAATAATAAGAAACTGTTTATGGGCCAAATCCTTTATTTCAAGATTTAATGGCCGTCTTGAAATGTTGACAGAAGTTGGTATAAAGAAAAAACATTGAAAAATGAGATCAGAAAAATGTCTGACAAGCTTAAAAATTTGCTTGATCACAGCACAGATGATGATTTAATTTTGGGACACTTTTTTGCTTTTCTTCTATTTATCTTTAGGAATACTATATACTCTGCTGATAAATTTATATTTGGTATAATAAATGCTTTGCTATATGTTTCACAAAAGCAGGAATGCTAGCAGCACCAATTTTAAATATTTATTTTATTCACATTTTTTTTATTTTCTAGAAAGTAGTTTAGAAAATTCAAAAGTCAGACAGACTAAACCAAAATAGTGAATTTTTACAAATAATACCTCAACTAGAGACTTTTTGTTTTGAAAATTTTTATTTTGAAATTGTTTCAGATTGGAAAACTTTTACACCGAGTTCTAAGTGTCCTAATATTTCTTGCTGATAATAATAAAAATTCATATATATTCACTTTTCATTGAGTTTAAATTCATTTTGATGTATTTTCAGTTAACAAAATGTCACTTGATGAAGAAGAACAAACTGTACACATCTCTAGAAGAAGGTTGTCAGAACTTGAAATAAAGGCAAATGCTGCAACAGATTTCATCCAACATTTCCAGAATATTGATAAAGAACTTAAAAAAGAAAAAGCTAAAGTGAAAAAGTTCACTAAAATGTTAATAGATGATCAAAAAGTTATTGAAAAATTGACTTCTGTAAGGTGTATTAGTGCCAGTGATCTTTCCTCATTAGACTCAAGGTCATTGATCTATAGAAATTCTTCACTTGTTACTCCACAATCAATTATAGAAACAGATGGCAGTTCAGGATCTTCATTTATCTTTCCAATAAGCGATCCTTTCCTTTCCCCATCACCAGAACCTTCACCAAAGAAACCACCAACTCAGCTAAGTGCTACCCCTCTTGAACTTACTACTCAATCTAAGACGACAACTACAGTGTTTAAAAATCTTCGTGAAACAGACTCAATAAGTAATTCAGGCAGCATTTCACTACCATATAAAAGAAGTGCGTCTGTGAATGTAAGCATAACTGGTCCAAAAGCAAATAATGTGTTTGCTGATGTTGTGGATGACAGAGGTATATCTGAAGCAGTTTTCCTTAATCTAGTTAAAGAATTGAAAAGGACAAAACATTGTTTAAATCAGCTGATGTTAGAAAAGGGCCTCACAATGGAAGAATTCATGGTAAATATTTATATGGTATAAACAAATGTAACCTGATGCATAACAGTAATTAGAGGAGAAACTATTTGATTTTTGTTCTATTTGTTTATTGATGTTGTTATGTAGTATGTCTGAATTATTTGCCATATGAATAACCAAGTTCTCGAAAAGAGGTGGTCCAAGGTTTTGACCACCAAAATTTTAATTTGTTGATATTAACTCACATCTGTGTTAGAATCAATGAAATGGTATGGCATTGTAGACATCCAGTAAAAAATTCTAATAAAATCTGTGCCAGAAGCCATCTTAAACTTACAGTGAGAGATTAGTTTTTGCTCTGCTTTGAAGCTAAGGCCTCATCATGACTTTGAGATGAAGATTAGCAGTATAAGCACTGTAACCCACTGTCCCTTTTTTTTCAAGTACCTGTAGGGATTTTGTATTGTTGAGGTAGCTGGGGTGTCAAAATGTTCGACGATAGATTTTTCTTAAACTTCTGTAAAAGACTTCTTGGTCAATGTACTTTCAAATTTCAATATAAAAACTAGGGGTCACGGATGTTGTTTTTTTTTGTTAAAATACTTTGAAATTAACAAAAGTACAGTTATTTTTCATGGGTTATATAGGGGAAACTTAATTTTTTCTTATTGTGGAAACATTAAATGATAGAATTGGTAAAAATTCAATGAAAGAATTGCTTTTCATAAATACCTTTGAAATATCAAATAAGAATAGGAGGTCACAGGCCTAATTTTCATGAAAAATCAAAGAAACATAAATAGATTTTTATGCCCCACCTATGATTATAGAGGGACATTATGTTTTTTTGGTCTGTGCATCCGTTCGTCCATCTGTCCCGCTTCAGGTTAAAGTTTTTGGTCAAGGTAGTTTTTGATGAAGTTGAAGTCCAATCAACTTGAAAATAGTACACATGTTCCCTATGATATGATCTTTCTAATTTTAATGCCAAATTAGAGTTTTGACCCCAATTTCACAGTCCACTGAACATAGAAAATGATAGTGCGAGTGGGGCATCCGTGGACACATTCTTGTTCCAATTAAATCATAGAATATAAAATTCAATATAGTTATCTGCCCTTGATTTTAAATGTATTTTTCTGAAAATTTTAATTACACTTAATTTATTGATAGTTTAATATCAAAATTTCAAGTTTTAGATGTTTCTGTTGTATATTGAATGATACTTGGTAAAATATTTTTAAAACAAAAAAGTATTTTTGCAACATGCCCAGAAGGGATGCTCAGAAAAAGACACCTGATCTACCTTACACATATTCCTTTTTACCATTAGAATTGTATTTTAATTTAATTTTTATGCCCCCGCCGTAGTGGAGGGGGCATTAAGTTTTACCCTTGTCCGTTCGTACGTAGTACTTATGTACATACGTCCCAAAGTTAGTTTTGGTTCTCTAACTTTAGTTTGCCTCAGCCAAATGTTATGAAACTTATACACAATGCTTATTACCACAAAACACAGATCAAATTTGAATTTTGGTGACGTCACTTTAACTGTACTAGAGTTATGCCTCTTTACAAATGGAAAAATTGCTGAATTTTTCGTTTTCATCCGCTAAATTAAGTTAGCCTCAACCAAATGTTATGAAACTTATACACAATGCTTATTACCACAAAACTCAGATCAAGTACAAATTTGGGTAGCGTCACTTTTACAGTTTTTGAGTTATGTCCCTTTATAACATTAAATGCTAGCGGGGGCATCATCTGTGTCCCGTGTCCCCGTTTATTTCCAATTAAATCATAGAATATAATGTTGCAATTTAAATTTGTCTATTGATGACAGGTGAACCTTTATTAGCAACAGGAACATTTAAGATATAGGTCCTCAAAACTTGAAATATAATATATTCATTTCCATTCTGATGAAATTCTTAAAAGATAAGCTGTTTGCTTTTGTTTTGCCTTAAAATTGCATAAATTTAAAGAAATCCACAAAATATATCATAATTAGATGATTTTGACGGAAGTCGCATTATGTGAGACATAGGGATTACTATCTGGCGGTGGTGGTGGCGATGTAAACTATTTATAAAAAGCTTTATATTTGAGAAGGTAGCTCTATACCTTGTATGCAGATACCTAATGTTACAAAGTTTCTGTCTATATATATTATAAGTACGTCTGAACCAGTGACGACTCTACAACAGATTTTATCCATCGGATCACCAGCAGTGATGGTGATACAAGGCTGAAAATACATTCTGTATATATAATTCGTCTAAACAACAGCCCAACAATGTTAGATCTGTAAATTTGCGGAAGCAAATTTTTTGTTCTTCCCTGGCCGGGATTAGAAATCATGCTACTGAGATATCGTGGCACCAAATTGCCTTCCACTATGCTCGACACGCTAGACCACTCGACCACCTAGGCTCTATAATAATAAAGCTTTCGGTGGCCAGGTGTTACCTTTCCTCATCAGTTTTTATCTAGCGTCGTAACCCAGTACATGATATATAAGGCATGAAGATGGAATTGTTACAGATCAGCTGAATTATCTATTGCAAAGGATCCTACAAATTAATGTAAGATGCAGTCACAGAAATAATTATATTATAAGGACGTCTGAACCAGTGACGACTCTACAACAGATTTTATCCATCGAATAGATGAATTATATATATATATATATAAAACGTCTGAATAATAGTCAACGATTTTTCCCATGAGGGCGCTGGATCGTTACGAGTAACGATACATGTACACAATAAATAAATTATATAAACGCCTAAAAAGTGTACACAACAACACCAATAACAAAAAAAGGAACTATAAATATAATTATTTATAAATATTTCGGATAACAGATATCCTTCATCAGTAAATATGATTGTGATGTTGAATGAATCATATATACTACTTAGATTAAACTATAACAATCTTGAAATTCATACAATAAAAAAGTCAAACCGAACATCAGGTAAGACGCTTGCACAATTCTAAATCTGTGTTAAACACGACATAGGTTATATGACTAATTACAACAGAGAGTTCAAATATATATCAAAGCATAGACTGATATATGATTCATTCAACATCACAATTATATTTACTGATGAAGGATATCTGTTATCCGAAATATTTATAAATAATTACATTTATAGTTCCTTTTCTTGTTATTGGTGTTGTTGTGTACACTTTTTAGGCGTTTATATATATATATATATATATATCCTAAATTGAGGTAAATTATATGGCCTTCCAAATACGGTTTCGATTCCTAACATCACTGAAGAGACATGCATTAATTGTCGAAATCTGGATATGGTGTACAAACTTTTGCACCTCATGTTTGCGGTATACCATCTTTTCCGCAAGTTTATTGTTTTCTGTTTGGTATTAAATTAATAATTAAGATCCATTTGTTACATCTGGTGATACGTTTATTTGGCAATCGCCAATGGCAGTCAGCAGGGTTTAAGAACATCAGTTGTTCGACCTGTTAGTCAAATGCGCTTTGTTAAAATATACTTTTTCACTTTTTTGGTCTTTTGGAAAATGTTGTTTTCGCTGTATTTAGACCCCTCTACCAAGAAATTTGTTTTGCAGGCACACGTATAAAATTGCAGTTTTTATCCAACACAATCATAGGTTTGAACGTTGTTTTCAATTTAGACATGTTTATATATATATATATGTATATGTCCATTTTCCTTGACCTCATTTTCATTGTTCAGCGACTGCTTGAAAAAAATTATAGTTTTATGTCATGTGAATTTCTCAATTATTATGAGTAATTGGATAACAATATTTGGTATATGGGTTCCTTGCAATGTCTACATGTCCATCAGACAGAGTTCACCTGACCTTGACCTCATTATATGGATTAGTGACCAAGGTTAAAGTTATGAGATTAGGTCCATTTCTCAGATACTATAAGCAGTAGGTAAACTATATGTGGTGTATGGAATGATTGTAAGGTGTACATTTTTGTCTGGTAGGTATCATCTGACCTTGACCTCATTTTCATGGTTCATTGGTTAATGTTAAGTTTTTGTGTTTTGGTGTGTTTTTTCAAATACTATAAGCAGTTAAGTTCATCTATATTTGGATTATGGAATGATTGTAAGGTGAACATGTCTGTCTGACAGGATGTATCTGACCTTGACCTCATTGTCATGGATTGACAGGATTTATCTGACCTTGACCTTATTGTCATGGATTGACAGGATTTATCTGACCTTGACCTCATTGTCATGGATTGACAGGATTTATCTGACCTTGACCTCATTGTCATGGATCTTTAAAAATGTTAAGTTTATGTAATACTTGTAGTAAAACCTTTATCTTTACGACTTTCAACATAAAATCAATGGTCAGTAAAACAGGCGAGACACTCTTGTTTCATGTGTTTTTGCTTTGTGTACACTTCATATTTATATAGAATCAAACAAACCATATAGGAAAGTAACTCATCAAATGTAGTTTTAGAGTCATTTAAATATTCAGGAAAATGCTTGATAAAATTAAGATATGTTTTGAAAGAAGGATGCATTACATGAGACAATAATTGCTTATAGATGATGAAAATAACACTTTATTAATTGTGTCCAAAGTGCTTTTGTAGATTTTCAATCGGCAGGAACCCTCGAACCAAAACATACAAAAGCCAAAGATGTACAAGACCTAAACAGGTTAAGAGCTATATGACAAAAAGGGACCTTAGAAAATAGCCAAATTCATACAAGGTTGTTGGGAGTTGGAACCTTAGTTATACTTGTAATTTTTAACCTGATTTTTGAAGGAAATATCGTTATTAGTCCCCTACCAACGAAGTCGAAGGGGACTTTAGGTTTGCACTCCGTCCGTCTGTCCGTCTGTCCATCTGTCCGTCTGTCCGTCTGTCCATCTGTCCGTCTGTCCATCCGTCAGTCCGGCAAATCAGCTTTTCCACTCTTTTTTTCTTCGTTCTTGAAGATATTGATTTGATATTTGGTATATAGTTTTATCATGAAAAGTTATAGATCAGGTTTGAATTTTGT